CTTCTATCTATCTTTAGTTTGACAGTTTCTATCTCAAGTTAAGTAGCAAACTATTCTCTATAAATAGTATATAGCTTTCCCATTGGAAAAATCTTTGTGAACGAACATAAATCAAAAATTAAAGTCCCATCGCTTCTCTTTGTATTTCAAATTTATCTGCCTATTCATTTATCTGCTCTCATTCTTATCCTCCATCTTAACTTTTGCATGTTCTATAATCCTTACTTTACCCTTGTTTCTAGGTGGTACTTTGAAAATCTACGGTGATCAAATCCATCCGGACGTGCCTTACAAAACATTGCTACTCTCAGTCTCCGATACCGCAAGCCAGGTAGTGCGCGAGGCTCTCGATAAGTATGGCCTTGAGGATATGGACGCAGACGCCTATTGCTTAGTAATGAGGACGCGCAGCGCTTCGGATTCGACCTCTTTTCGCAAAAGTGAGACTAGAAATATTGGAATGGGAGCGAGATCTCATTGCGCTGGGTCCTCAAAATTGGAAACGGAGGAGATTCTTGCCGACACCGACTGTCCTCTCGGCCTTTTGCTCACCATACCTCAGACTCCTGGCGCAGTTTCCACTTTCGAGGTGGGTTCTTTTTGCTAATATGACTCCAAAATGTGATTCACTCTTTCAATTATAGTTCCAGTTATCATTCTTACTTTGATGATGAATTTTATACACAAACTTTGGCTACCCCAGTTTTCTGTCAGGAATGGTTTATTCCAGAATTGTGACCTACAAGTCTAATTGCTTTTCAGCAATGCTCTACATTTTGTCGTTAATAATAACCCAGGTATTGTTATTTTTATTGAATAATGTTCACTAAGACAATAAACAGCAGTAGGAGAGGCATAACCATGCTACTCTAGTCCGATGAAATTACATTATTGAAGTATTGAGGCTGGAATCCTTCCGTATGTCTTTATAATCAACTTATCTTCTGAGATAACATTATGCCATCTTTTAGAGAGAAATATGACCCCTTATCGAGATCCGGCTGCTACAAAATTG